AGGGGGAACTTTTGGCGGTGGATGCGGGTGGCGCTCACCCCGATGACGGATTCCTGCAGCTCCGCATCGTTGGAGACGCTCCTGATGCTGCCGCGGATCACTGCAGGGGGGGGAAGGCAGGAAGGGGTGTCAGCGTGTCCCTGGCCCCATCCTTATCCCTGGCCCTGGCCCCATCCCTGTCCTCATCCTCATCCCCATCCTTGTCCTCATCCCCATCCACATTCCTGTTCCCATCCCTGTTCCTGTCCTCGTTCCCATTCCCGTCCCCATCCCCATCCTCATCCCTGTCCCTGTCTTCATCTCCATCCTTGTCCTCATCCCAATCCTCATCCCCATCCCCTTCCCCATCCCCATCCCTGTCCCCATCCTTATCCCCATCCACATCCACATTCCTGTTCCCGTCCCTGTTCCTGTCCTCGTTCCCACTCCCGTCCCTGTCCTCATCCTCGTCCCTGTCCTCATCCTCGTCCCTGTCCTCATCCCCATCCTTGTCCCCATCCCCATCCTCATCCCTGTCCCTGTCTTCATCCCCATCCTTGTCCTCATCCCCGCCCTCATCCCCATCCCTGTCCCCATCCCTGTCCTCATCCCCATCCCCATCCCCGTCCTTGTCCCTGTCCTCATCCCCATCCTTGTTCCCATCCCCATCCCTGTCCTTGTCCCCATCCCCATCCCTGTCCTCATCCCCATCCTTGTCCCCATCCACATCCACATTCCTGTTCCCGTCCCTGTTCCTGTCCTTGTTCCCACTCCCGTCCCTGTCCTCATCCTCGTCCCTGTCCTCATCCTCAACCTTGTCCCCATCCCCATCCTTGTTCCCATCCCCATCCCTGTCCTCGTCCCCATCCTTGTCCCCATCCCCTTGCTTATCCCCACCCCTGTCCCCATCCACAGTGGCCTCCGTGACACCGATGGCCGCAGCCCAAGCCAGGCCAGCCCAGCAAGGCAAAGCCAGGGCTGCCCGCAGGGCTGTTGCCCCCCAGTTTGCCTTCCCTCCGCTCCCCCCTAGAAGCCCCAGCACCCCCCGGGAAGGGGGGGCTGCACTCACCAAAGTCACTAGTGCAAATGGCCATCAGGATCTCGGTGTCGTTGCACGGCCGGCACGCCCCTGCGATGGCCAAGCACACCCCGTCACGCAACCGCCACCACGGTGGCTCCCGCCGACCCACCCCGCATCCCCT